GGTGGGTACATTGTGTCATTTACACAAGTTCTTAAAATGAATCAAATATATCATACATGAATTACCTCCTCAACCATCCTCCTTCAACTCCCCCTCTCCCAATTCCTAGAGTAGTTTTAACAGGTATCATTTTTGCATTTGTATACATTTTATATGTGTATACATTTTTTGCTCTATATTCACCCTCCTGCTCCTTTTAACCCAACACGTGCTGCCAGCCCTTCCCCCTGGGCAGGACTTGTTCCGCCCTCCTGTTTTCTGATTTTAAAAAAGAGAAAAGATAAAACAAAAAACATGACATCTTAGCTTATTTGAGATAAAGGTAGCTACACAGGTAATTTCTTTGTGATATTTCCATGTATATACGTATGTCCTATTTTGCTTCCTTTCTTAATTTTTCTCATCAATTTCTAGGGAATGCTATGCAAAGGTAACTCTTCTTTTAATAAATTTTTATTAGGATATATTCATTATATGGGCGTGGATTCATAGTGATAATTGTAATCAGTGACAATTCTTATATTGTGCATTAGTTACATTGCCCCAATCATCTCTCCCCTTTAGTCCCCTCACCACCCCACTTAAAGCAATTGCAAGAGGTTTCTTAGTTCTATTTCATATAGTTATATGAAGTTCATCTACCTATACCATCACCTAATCTTTCTTCACCCAACCCCCATTAGAATACCCCCACACACATAGTGCACAATATTTTACAATCCTGGTATTTGTTATTAATATTTAAGTTGATGTTGCAAAGGTACCTCCTAAGACTTTTTAAAATTTCCTCAGATTTATATTATAAAACTAGCATTAATTTTACATATTCACAGTTTTGTCTTTTCTTGAGACTAAGAACTTTAATTTATCCATTTTTATCATGACATTTAAACATCAGCCTTTTAAATGCCTTTCTTTTAAATGCTTTTCTATTTGTTACTTCCTTCTATATCCCTTCAATTTATCTGGTTCTTTTTCTAACTTCTATTCATAATTCTTTTTCTTTGTCTTTCCTTTTTACATGTTGACAGCTATGGCTATTCCTCTAAGCATTTCTTTAATTGTATTCTATAGTTCTTTGGAAGCTGTCATCTACAGTGTGTATTCCTTCTTTGATGGAAAAATTAATGAATTTTCAATGCTTAAGTAGAACTTTTGTATTTCTGAGTATGTTCTAAGTTTTAACTGTACTGCATGCTAATAAGAAAATTTTGTCTTTAGAATTGTTATTTTATATCTACTATACCATTTGAAAAATTCACAAATTTTCCCTGAGCACTTGAAGTTTTAATCTATATTTACATGGTACAGAGTTCAATCTTTATCAATCAGATTTATCTTATTACTTAGATTACTTTGCCATGTCATGTTTTCTAGATTATGATAAGTGAATTAAAGTCAACTTTGAAATTTATTTCATTGGTGTATATTAAATTGTACAAAGGGGTTTCATTATGACATTTCCATACATGCATATAATGTACTATTAAAGTCTATTTTCTATAAAGTTTTAAAATAGTAAATGGTTGTCTATTTATCCTATAATTTCTGTTTTATGAATGTTTCAACCTTCAATATTATAACATTCTTTATCTAATATTTATTGCTTTTTGGCTTGCATATTATTTGGTCAAATAGATATGTCTGGTTTTTCAGACATGTCATATTTTGTTACACCTGACTTTCATAGATATTTAAAGACTCCCATTATATGTATTTTTCTTAGTTTTATCCACACAGATATTTAATATTCTGAAAGCTCTATAATTTTTTAAAATACTTGTCTTTGTAACTGTAAAATAACAGGTAATCCTCCATTGTTTAGTATTTCACTACTAAACAATAATAAAGTCAGAATATGTACTCTTAATTTTTCCTCTTTCAGCATCAAGTTTTAGGTCATATTTTAGGTAAAATTTCTAACATTTCATTTGTCGGCTTACATAGAAATCCTTTTGACTTTGTGGACTTATGCTTTTTTTCTTTCTTCAGTCCTCTACCAATTCATTACAGTTGTGTCATTTCTACATTGTTAGAACACATAAAATGGAAATTGTGGTTTGTTACACTAATTCAAATATTTGGTTTCATTTCAGTTTTTCTGTTAAATTTATTCAACATTCTCCACTAATTCTTAATTGGCTAAACATTGTCCTGGAGAATTTTCTCAAGAATTATTCACAGAAACAATTCTGTATATGGTTAAAAATTAGGCACTGCCCAGTGGGGAGGGTTGGCACCAGTGGGAGGAGGGAGGTGGCAGAGAAAGGGGATAGGAGGGTGAATACAGTGCAAAAACTGTGTACATATGCATGTAAATGCAATAATGATACCTGTTAAAACTATTCCATAAATCAGGGGAGGGGAGATATAGGGGAGTGGTGGAGGGGGTGAATTCAAGTATGATATAGTTGATACACTATAAGAATCTTTATAAATGCCACAGTGTATCCACACACAGAACAACAATAAAGAAAAAAATCATTTTACTTAAAGAATAGTTTGACTCCTACTTTCTGTCCTATGGTTATTGGTCTGTATTTTTCTATATTGCCAATTGTTTTAGTGAAGTCTAAGGTCAGACGCAGTTGTTTTTCTTTACTTGAATACAGCTGTCCCAAGAATTCTTACAGTTAAGACCAATAGTGAACCTTCATGCTGATCATTTCAGGTCAATTATCCCTGCTATACTGTAGGCCTTTAAATAAGGATGTCAAAACTTTGTATTAGAACTTCACTGAATTTAACTTTAATTATTTGTTTACTTCCATTGTTTTGTTTACTTGGAAACTCTATTTATGCCAATTTGGAACTTCTTTTCCTTCTATATCAATCATTTTCTTTCTAATCCTTCTAAACTCTTTTCATCTCTACATGTTATTTGCCTCATTTTTATATTTATCTGTTGTGTATTTTTCTATGCCAACCACAGAGTGTATCTTCCAATTTCATATTTATTTATGGAATAGTTTATTTCCTCCAATACTTACCAAAGTTTTGTTAGTTCATAATTCAATACTTCCATGTTATCCTACCATTTCTTCCAACTTCTTAAAACTCTGTTTATTAGCTCTTCTTCTTTATAAAATACAATTCATTTATTTCCTACTTTTTTTAACTTATGGCAAAATTTTACCACCATGTGGATAATTTTTTTTTTTTTTGGGCAGTACTAGGGTTTGAACTCAGGGCCTTGCACTTACTAGGCAGATGCTCTACCACTTGAGCCACATCCTCAGGCCTTAAATAACAATTATTTTTAAAGTTCTCAAGATTTTTTTTATCTGATACATATGACTGATGCTGTGCCAACTACTTCATATAGTCGAATTTTCTTGAACCAGACATTTGCAAAAGATTTGCATGTGTGTGTAATAAAAGGAATAAGAGGAACCTTTTTGCTTTCATAATCTACAAACTGTCTCTTGATAGCCAAACATACTGCTTCTTATAAATATTGTTCATCTGAATAATTCTTTGCTACACCCCTTTGGCTTTTCTGAAAACAATTTGATTTTCAGAAGGATTATGCTATCAGTCATTACGTATCTATCATTACAAAGAAAGGATCCATTTCTGCATTTAAAGTGAGTCTTTCATCTTCAGAAAATGTACTTCATGGACACTTTGTGAGATCTGCTATCATTCAGCCCTCTCATCGTTCTTCTTGTATATTCTCTTTTTGTTACTCTTCACAGCTTTTGAGCAATCAGCTTAAAGCAGTTGATATTCATGCCTTGGAGCTCATGGATTAAATCTTCAGTCTTGATAACAACTTGATAATAACAAAATAGTGAAATATTTTACTTTATATTCCTTGCATTATTTATGAAGTTTACAGGAAAAGGTGAGAGAGAATATCTTAATCACCCATGTTTACACAGAATATTAGCTAATCATCATTTTCAATTTGGCATTATCTGTTAGTTTACATCTTTTTCTATATTTTTAAATGTGATTTCTTCATATTTTAAGGGGGTGCATCTAGGGCTTAAGTTCTTTAATTTCCTCCAAGTCAATTTCTTTTACTAAAGCAAAGCTAAAAGAATCCTTACCTCATAATATTAAGTGTGAACATTCTTCTCACTCCCCATATTCATGTATCTAAAAGTCCTCACATACATGGAAACTTTTTCTGCAATCCTGGCTTTGTCTGAAGTATTCCTATATCTATAATGTCTCCATTGTCCTCTAATTAACTACTAATTTGGAACCAGAACAAACAAAAAATGCATCAAACTTCTAGACAAACAATCATACTTGACGCTTCATCTCCATTTTCTACAGTTTTCATCAGTGTTCCCAATAAGCTCTTCAAAAATTAAAGCACCAGAAAAGTTGGTAACACTGAAGTTCTAGAGATACCCCCATTTAGGAACATTTAAATAACAGTACTGCTTCCATATTTCATTTGTACAGAAAATGAATTTATTGAAATATCCATGTACCAAAGGACATAGTATGAACTAAAAAACATTAAATAAGCAGTTAATGCCACAGAAAAAATGCATTTTAACAGTATCTAAATTCTGTATTTAGGGAAAAGAATGAGTTGTTCTACAAAGTACAAGTTACAAATATAATAGCCCTCATTATTACAAAAGAACACAAGCAAATAATAAAATCCTCAATATATAGGCCTAACATCCCCTCTCAGAGTGAACTCAATCATGACATTCCCTGTATCAAGAAAGCTTTTATTAAAATCATACCCATATATACTTGATTTTGACAAAATGTTTTATTATATTCTTAAAACAAGTAATATTTTATAGTCTTAAATAATATTTTCTTTTCAGGAAAAAAAGCAGAAATAAACTATGTTACTTAAGTTGTGATCTTGTTCCATAAGCTACTATCAATAAAACATTTTTATAACTTTTCTCAAATTTTCCACTTAAACCACTCCAGTCAAATTTTAAGTTACACAGTAGTTACAAAACATAAAAACAAATTTCAGCAAGTATTTCTATAATTCATTATGAAAAACATCAACTTACTTGTGACCTAAATGCTTCAGAAAGTATCCCAGTACCTTCAGAGCTTGAACCCAGATACTTTCACTTTTAGAAGCCAATAATTTGTAGATCACTCTAAAAAATATATAAATTATCTTTTAAACATTTACTAACATTTTAAAAACACTGACTACTTAACAAATAAATTACAAATAGAATATAAAATATTTCTAGGATTTCTGTAATTCTTTGGAACAATTAAGGATTAGTACATTTTGTTAATTTTTTACTTAAACTTGGCTTCCAAATGTACACTTAAAAGAGTAATGCAATTGGTTATTCATAAGCATTGCCTCCATGCACAATAACAAAATATTCAATTTTAATATACTCATTAAGCCACATCTCCTCTTCTCTTAGAATTGCCCACATTTCAACTTAATGACCTATTTCATTTGTCATTGCTAATTGGACCATGAGTAGATAGATACCTGCCTACTTATTTCTCCCCTCTAAAAATTTACAAGAGGAGTAAGAAACAATATGTAATCTTTGCTCAGCTCTTGAACTAGGAACTGATTTAGGAAATAAACTAGGACACCAAAGGTTTGTTTATGTTCAAAGATGTAACATGCAGAGGAAAGAATGAAGCAGCCATGCAGACCACAACAGACAAAGAAAACTTGTTCTCTGATGGCTATACAATTCCTGGTTCACATATTACTGAGATTTTTATAACACATACATTATTCAGTTTAACTCAAAATAATTTGAGAGATTTTCTGTTCCTTAGATTAACTGTTATTTCTGTTACTAACATATGATCTAACATATTACAGCCACTTCAGATACAATATAAAAGCAGGACCATATTCACTACAACATTTATATGTGTTCTAGAAATTTTACTCCACTTACTTTGTTTAAAAAAACTTATTTTTCACATAAGGCAGAAGAGGACGATGGTGACTATATACCCTTGCAACTAATTCTAGAATTTAAGAATGTTCTTTGGGAGGAAGCAGTGGCAAGTATAAAATTCGGGTGTGCTTTAAATTCATTATGTATTTTTTTAAATTAAATGTCACAGTACATTCTGTAGGTGAACTAGTCTAGAATGAACAAAAAAAGCTGATAATGGAAGATGCAATACAATTTTCATATCAATTCAATAGCATTTATAAAAGGAAACAAATAGTTTGAAGTTAATGTGCATTTATTTTTACTTTTACCTATAGTTTATACTAACGAAAAAATTAGAAGTCAGTTTTTTTTTAATATTTCATCCGCTGGAGAATAAATTATGAGAAGACCTAAACTCTAGAGTAATTATATCTTTTGGAAGATGATTTTTTTAAAATCCCATTTTCCTAAATGTAGATGCATTTGCATTCAAATCTTTTTTCAGAATGTTAAGGGATCAAGATCAGTAATGAGGGAGCAAAAAAAATTTTGAAAACAGGAAAATCATACTTGTCAAGAGGAAATATTCAGGAAATCATTAAAAAGAAACTAAAAAACAAAAATTATTTTGAAAACCAAAGAAAAGCTGACAGTCTGAAAACAAGGCTTATACTAGATACAGAATGGGAAGTTCCCACAGAACCAACATTCTCTAGGAATAACTCTGAATAGGAGGAAAATAGGTATAAGATCATATTATGGGTCAACAGCAATTATCATTAACATTGAACCATGAAAATATTTAGGGCTATAACATATCTGCACGCACATGATATACTATGAATAGGAATACTAACAACTCAGTTGATGTTTACTCATAAAGATAACAGTAATCCTAATTCATATGTTCGACCTTACTATATTCATTTAGAAAGGGTCTAAGCTCTGTAAGACAGGTACTTATCTATTCTTTTCTTTGAATATTTCCAGATATAATAATACAAATTTTATTAGATCATCTCAGTGCTGCATTATCACAAGGGCTTCCTTAAGTCCAGTTAAAATAGCAGAATTGGGGGCAGGGATGTAGCTCAGTGGTAAAACATATGCCAACATATGCCAGGCTCTGGGTTTGATCCCTAAACACTACAAATAAAACAAATAACTAGAATTATCTTTTTGTCCAAATTCATATACAGTTGTTACCCATTAGTGCTTGTTTCTAGAATATAAACTTTTAAAGGCTTTAACCACTTTTTATTATTTTTATCAAATAAGTCTAAATTTCTTTGTTCTGTATTATTCTGAGTCAAACTTCTTCAAAGAAAGGGCACTTTCCACATTTGTGATTATTTTAACATACTAGTAACAAACTGACATATTCAACTGGTAATTAACCATGACCCACAAGGCCTTTGTATTTGTTGGGCTTCCTCAACCTTTTATACCATACATTTAAAATACTACATGGATGTTAAAGATCTAATAAAATAGCACTATCTCTTATTTCCAGTGTATTAAAATAATTCCAAATTCTATTTCTGTATTTTATAATCTGTATTTTACCATATTATATAATCTATGTTTGGTAACTTCTATAAGGAATAATGAGAATATTTTCAATTGATAGATGTAATTGATCAAGTAATATAAGTAAAACAGGATCTGAGATCAAGGATACTAAGTATTCAGTCTCAAAATAATCTCAAAAGTATGAACATAATCACATTATTTTATTAAATTGACCTATATGAAATTATAATTATGCAATAAGATCAGTTAAGTATAACCAGTGTTAAATAGTTCAATCTCATAGCAGAAAAATAATTATAGGTATTAATCAATAAATGTGTAACCACAAGCAAATAAATTAGCAACCCAGTTAATGGTAAACTCAAATTAGATATCCATATAGCTCAATCAAGTGATTCTTTAATTTGAAAGTTTTTCAAGTCTAGAAAAGTAAAATAAACACAAAACATCCCTTTGCGTTACTGATCTGTCACCTCTAAACTCTTTTTGTAAGGTCTTTTTCAGAACAACCTGTGAAAATTTATTGAATTATACATGCATAATTTAGATTTCCTGATTATTCTAGTAACTCAGATTACAGAAAAAGAGAAAATCCCTAAGAGGTTAAATTATAGGCTTAAATTCATGAGAATATTAACCAAGAAACTATGTTTCACTTACCTACACAGTTACTTTATAATGACCAAAACTAAAATTAGTCCTCAAATTATTTTGGCTTAGGCCTTTTCAAATCTATTATTCCCATTGCACTGCCACTGCCTCAGGTCATCATTTCTATACTTACAAGTAAAATAATCTGTCTGCTGATCTCACCACACAAATTTTGCCCTTTTTCAACATATGTGTTCACAGTGCTAATTATAAATATAACATGGCATCTGAGCACATCAATTATCCACAATTCTTCAATTTTTAGAATCAGTCAACAGGAAAAAATTAAATTTATTGCCATGATGTAGGCCATACACCTCCAGCTTCTATCTTTCTCTTAGATCTCACAATATTTCTCTTTTATTCTCTTTTGTTGATATATTATGTTCTTTATTGTCTTCTTGCCAATAGTAATTTTTGCTCTTCCCATTATTTGAAATGTTTTTACTATACCAATAACAATTTAATTATTTAAGCATTCAGCATGATTCCTGAGAACATTTTCTACACATTTGACCAGTTTCCTCGAGTTTCAAAGAATTAAAAATTTTCCATTTATTTCTTTTTTATATGTAAGATTTTGTTATATTTATTCACAAGTCAATAGAAGGCACCACTGTGTTCCATTTAATTCTAATAATACTATTATCATAATCATACCTTATTCCATTTCTTTGGTCAAATGCTGGTATCATCGAAGCTGGATGTTCTGACATTAAAGCAACTAGTAACTGTAACACATCATGAATATTTTCATCCTGCATAATAAGAATCACCAATATTTATTTAGTTAAAATCTGTAAAGCTTCCAATAAAATGATTAAAATAAAAGATCCAATGTATGTCTTACCTCATGCATTGTAAGTAGATAATTTAATATGCTCTGAAGTTCATCTTCTTTGACTCCTCGATCCTATTTTTTTAAAAATATTTTATTATTTAATTTAAATCTAAAACTAAAACTTTAAAAATGGAGTCAAAATGATGGTTGTATTTTTTTCTTTATATGAGTTTATTTTTTGTAATTATTGTTACACTGGGAGTACATTGTGACATTTACCAAAGTTCTTATAATGTATCATCGTTGAATTCACACCCTCCATCATTCTCCTTTATCCTCCCCACTCTGATTCCTGAAACAGTTTCAGCAGGTCTTATTTTTCCATTTTCATACATGAGTACAAACTATTTCTACCATATTCACCATCCTACACCCTTTCCCTACACTGGTGCTAACTCCCAGACAGGACCTGTTTTACCTTTCTATTCTCTGTTTTTGAAAAAAGAAAATTTTGTTTGTATAAGATAGCTATACTGAGAGTTTCACTGTCACATTTCCATGTATACATGTATTATAACCCAAATTGGTTTATCCCCTCTATTTTTCTCCTTTCTACCTTAGTCACCTTCTTATGGTGATTTCAACAAGTTAAAAATTCTATATTCATTCTTTATAGAAAGTACATCAACCATATTCACCTTCTTAAAAATCCTTCTTTTACCCTCTCTCTCCTGTTGGTGATTTTCCCTTAGCATGACCTATTTTCCTAATAGGTCATGAAAATGATGGTTTTAAAAGATAATAGGAAGAACTTTTAAAATGTTTTAAAATTAAAATTCCCAAATACTTCACAGTTCATGGACAATATTATTTTAAGTGAAATAGGTAATATTTAGAAAAAATACAACTGTTTTTATGTTATCAATATTTGACATTGTTAATATTAAGATAGTATGACTATCAACTGTATACATGTCACTCTTTCTAATTATTTACTGTTTTCTTAAACCAATACAAAACCAAGTGGTTACACTATCAATTTCAGTGTGTTAACTAACAATTTTATTTTTATGACCCCTTTGCCTTCATCTTAACCTTAGAAAAATTCTACTGTGATAAATACACTATGGTAGCTTTCTTAAACTGGAATATAGAAATTTTTCTACAATAAAATATTTATGCTCAATTCTTATTCATATGAACCTTCTCTCTTTCCAACATCTCTCTTAATATGGAGCATTTAACCAAAAGTTAAGTTCAAATAAGGTACTGCTAAATCTTGCAGAGTTTTGCAAGCAATTCATGAAAGGTATTCCTTGCTAATTTAATGATAATGATTTTTCACTAGGCCAAAAACTTACTTTTCACCCAAATATTTTGTAATTATGGATTATATAAAATTATTTACCTTTAGTATGAGCTGTTTCAGAAAAAGAAGCATAAATGCCCGAAGTGATATAATTTCTTTTTGTGATGGCCGGGGACCATCTAGAATAAAACAGAAAAAAATGAGAAGAAATCCACAATGTTAAGTAATGAAAATTATCTATTTCAAGTCAGAACTTCACATTATACAAAATAAAAAGTTAATCTCACAACAACTAAAATATCAAAGTAAAAGAATAATTTTGTATCACAAAAACAAAGAAATTCCCTTTCACTTTCCTGCCACTTCTCTTTAAAATGCATTATTGGTTTTCTCCCTTCCCTATCCTTGAGAGAGCTGAAGCCAATGGGGCTTCCAGGTCCAGGGTCCTGAGAAGGCAGCAGGGGCCAAGAAGACTAAAGAGGCTGACAGAGTCAAAAAGGCAAATAAGTCTTGGCAAGACCTTCAGGGTAAGCAGTGCTAAGGACTAAAGAGCCAGAAGGGTGGTTAGCACCAAAGAAACAGGCACTGAGGAAGCAACCAGGACATTGAGTTAATTTATAAAACTGAGAAAGTGATGGTATTTTTATTAAAACATTGGTTTCAAAAAGCAGAATAACAAAATATGCTGATATATTAAAGATAATTGGAGCCAGACTTCTCACTACTGAAGAGGAAAGTTGTAACCTAAAACATTTAAGGCTAGGTTGACAAATGTGTTTTTAAACTGTATCATAAAGATACAAAACTCCATGTGAAGGCCAAAACTGGGACATTATATAAACATTAAGATAAATAATAATATAGTCCAGGGTACTGATGAACTATAGCCTTTGGGCCAAATCCTTAACACCTGTTCTTAAAGGTTTCATTGAAACAGACTAAACCCATTAATTTGCATACTGCCCACAGTTATTTCTGAAATAAAATGAAAGAGCTGATTTCATGCAACATAATCCTAAAAGGCTTACTAAATGGCCCTTTGCAAGGAAAGAATGCCAACTGCTGATATAACACGTTGAATAAAATAGTTGTTCATGATATCATGCTATATAAAAGACTGAAAAATAAATCAGTGGAGTAGAAAAACAACTTCTTCCTAACAGCAGTATACAAACTAGTATCATAGAAACCACTGGCAGCAGTCACAGTAAGTCAATTCTACCATGATTTATCAATGAACTAATCAAGTAGGCAAAGCTATGTTGAAAAACCATGTTATTTATATATTATGTAATTGTTCACCAAATATTTATTGGTTATAAAAAAGAAAGTACAAAATGCAAGGAAGATAACACCTTCATCAAATGTTCGAAGTTCACATCACTTGCAACAGGACAACTGAACCTCATGTACCACCTTGACGTGATACACTAACATGGGATGACTTATGGGTTATTCCTGATAAAAATAAAAAATCTGTATCACCATGAGCAAATACTCAAGAATTCCAAGTTGAGGGGAATTCTAAATTTAAAAAATTGCCTATTTCTTAAAAAAATGTCAAGGTCATAAAAGACAAGGAAATACTAAAAGAACTATTCTACATTGAATTAAAGTAAAAAGGAAAGTCAATGTAGCATAGACCTGCAACTGGTATTTAGGGAAAGGGAAATATTTTTTCTAGAAAGTACATTATTGGGATAATTGGTTAAAACTGAGTTGGGGCTTTGATTTATATGATAGTATTGTATTAATGCCAATTTCCTATTTCAATCCTATCATTACTTAACAGACTACATTTACCTTTTAGGGAACAAATCTGTGAGGTCAAATGTAAGATGTTGGAAAATTGATGAGGGGCATATGAAAATTATTTATATAATTCTTGAAAATATTTTTAAAACAGAAATTAAAGTTTTAAAAGCAGAATTATGATTTGTTTAGGGTAGAGAATATTATGATGTGGTATTTCAGAGCAAGGACTCTGAGCCCTTCAAAGGCTCTGAGTCACATATAAGCCAAATTTCAGTGCTGTCACTGTGCCAACTTTCAGGTTTATAATCTATAAAATGGGAACAGTATTAACAACACAGGTATATACGGATATAGTCTTACGAATGTGTCTGAATATATTTATATACCTATAATCATATTATGTTATTAAGTCTATTAATACATAGAATGCCCAACACAGAATGCAACTCATGGAATGCATTCAATTAATTTTAGAAACCACCACCTTGAAATCAATTAAAGAAACCCTAAATGCCCAAACTAGATCTGAGTATGAATAGCAAATTTACAGTCCTATGCCCCAAAACTTATTTTTGTATCCTTACATAAATATCCAAATAGTGGAATGGTATTTCCCTAAGACTCATAAGAATATAATGTTCAATGAAACTGTGAATATGCTAAGAAAAGATCTCTAGTACACAATGGCTGAAACTATAAACTGAAAGGGCATTTCTGAAAAAAGTTTAATAAATGCATTATTAGTCCTTCTCATCAATTCTAAACACAGACAGAAATAAGCAAATACATATAAAGAAGTGGATCACCATATTATTTCTAGAATAAACCTTAAAAACTATAAATGCTGTATTCTTACAGAGTACTACAAAGAGCTGAAGAAATGACCAAAAAATGGAGAAAAATATCAATTTTGTAAAAAAAAAATCTAAATATTTCACATTTAAATAATGAGAAACAGTGGGGAAAAGCATGCCAAACTTCTAATAGTAGTTATTCCTATAGTTTGGGTCATGAATAATACTTTTCTTTGATTTTTTATAAGTATACTCTTTCTATAGTTGGAAAAACTGGCTATAATTTTAAAACATAAAAGAAAACATTGTGAACCAGGCATGGTGGTATATGCCTGTAATAACAACTACATTATTTTTGTGGGCAAAAGTCAGCAAGACCCTGTTGCAAAAATAAGCTGGGTGTGGTGGAAAATGCCTGTAATCTCAACTACGTGGTGATAGTTGGACCAGAGACCAAGGCTGGCCTGGGCAAAACTGGGAGACCCTATCTGAAAAACATGGAAAACAAACTGAGGGGCATGGGGAGAAAAACGAAAGTTAAGGAGGGAGAGAGAAGCAGAGAGGGAGGTAAGGAAGTAGGGAAGGAGAGAGGGAGTCAGGAAGGAAGGGAGTCAGGAAGAGAAGGAGAAATTGTAAAGAGTTAAATTAGTTTCTACTACTATCAAACAAAGGTGAATTTGGAGTATTTGCAGTTTTTAATTATTAGTTCATTAGTTTTTAATATTATGAATATATCTCCCTAACCTCCCCCCAAAATACAGCATCAAGGTTAAATGAAGACTATTAGCTTTTTAAAAACTTGCTTATATTCCAAAATAATTAATTCTGAAAAAGTATAAACTTGTATTTTAACATAAGCAATTTTCAATATAGCAGTCTACTTGATAAGAAAGAAAATAGTTCAGTCATATTTTCATAGTTATGCACATGTATTCACTATGATAGTGCTCAGGATATACAACAACCACAGGAAAGTTGAAACATAGTGATAGTGATGTACTTACCTAATCCTTTAGGTGTAATGCCACTACTGTCAGCAGGATTAATGACCCAGTAGTAATATTTTAATGTGTGCATTAGCTGTAATACTGTTCCTACTCTGCGTATGGTGGTGTAGATGGTAGCAGTTCCAATAAATTCAGCAGACAAGTAAGTATAAAGAGAAAGCTGAACCTAATTCAGAAATATTAATAGATCATTAAAATTTAAAGTGGTTCAAGTGCTTATAAGTATAAATTTAATTCAAATGTATATTAAGAAAGGTCAAGAAATGACCTTTATTGTGAGTTTAGAAAGAAATTTTCTTAAATATCATTCTTATTTTGAAAAGAAAATAATCAAAATCAACATCCTAATAAAACTTATTTTAATAACAGTAATCTACATTACTTAGTAACCTATCTATAAAGGTGATAGCTACTGACAAATAATTTTAAATGATTAAATAATTTAATCTGATGGAAATAAGTTAAAAAGAGCTAGAATAACACTTCAAAGAAGTGATGTTTCAGTAGCTCTTCATGCATATATTTCTTCACAGAAACACAATTAACATCAGTCAGCTACAGTATATCTAATAAAATATATATTGCTATCATAAATGCCAAAAGTTTGTGTAATTTCAAGTTGTCTTCACCTATTGACACAGTATAATATTTGGGTTTTGCAATTTGGCCATGTCCATTAAGATAAAAAATAAAACAAAACACCTTGTTTAAAAGAGAAATAAACTTCAGATTTGGGTTTAGTCCAATAAATAATAAAATGGACCATAATAAAAATCAGAACTCAAACACTATTCAAGCAGGTTTGTGGAGATTTTAAAATTATAAGACAGTCCAAAATCAACATATCACTCATTACTGATTTCCATTGTCATATAGAACTAAATTTGAATACGCAAAATAGTAAGACTTTTATGTTAACTTTTAGAAAAATATCTAATTTGTGTATATTCTTATTTTAGCACAAATAATATTTATATATCATGATATAAATTCTATGTTCAAAGTGAAAGCAATTTCCCAGTCAAAATGAACATAGTGGCAATGATGCAAGTAGTTATCTGTTCTCTTTTCCTAGCCTTTTAACAATCAGTGTACCAAGTATCTTCATTGAAAAGGTATGAATCATACCTCATAACATCAGAACATAGTGTTACATCAAGCTTAATTTTTAGCTATAGCTTCATTTATTTTTATATTCATATATTAAGTAATTTGATCTTTGATACTCATGCAACTATGCTGCAATGACTATAAAAAATAATCCAGTAAATATAAATGGTTGCTACTGGATATTTTAGATCCAGTACCTATAATTTATAACATTACACTAAAATAAAATGACTGAAAATGAAATTCAGACCTTTGCAGGTGTGTGTATCCAAATGGCCGGATTGAATAAAATGTGATCACAAAGCTGCTTCAGCAAAGGTGCTCCATGAGATAAACCATCAAGGTATTTTGCAAAGGATAAAAATTGCTCCAAGACAGCTCTAGTTATATGAACCCTTGATGACTAAAGGAAGAGAACAGAAATTCTAACTAAAACATAGCTAATATCATATTACGTAATTGCTAAGTTAGCCTAACTATGAATTTTTCACATGCTATCCCTAATAGTTTAAACACAAATCACAAAATTTTATATTTCACCTGTTATTAAATATTTAGTTACATAAATAAACTTATTATCTAATGACATTTATTTAGTGAGACATGGTAATGCATGTCCTAGCTCTCTGGGAGGTAGAGCCAAAAGGATTGAGAGTTCAAGGCTAGCCCACACAAAATTATCAAGACACTAGTTCAAAAAAGTAAAATATAAACAAAATGTCTCTTTTTTCTTTTTCTTTTGCAAAATCGGACAACAGGAGGGAGTAACAGGTCCTACCTGCTGGGGGGGACTGGTACCAGAAGAAGGGGGTAGGAGGGTAAATATGGTGCACATACTGTGTACACATGTATGTGAATGCAAGAATGATACCCATTGAAAGAATTCCAGGAATGGGGGAAAGGGGCATAAAGGAGAGTGGTGGAGGGGGTTAATTCAAGTATGATATATTTGATACACTGTAAGAACTTTATAATGCCACAATATATCCCTACACAGCACACTTAAAAAAAATACAAAAAACAAACAAAAAGGGGCTGAGAGTGTAACTCCAGTTGTAGAGCACTTGATTAACATTCGTGAGCTCTGGTTCAATCCCTAGAAGCTCAAAATAGATGATAGATACATAGATACTTTTTACCACTTATAAAGGGCTTATTATTTGAAGCACTTTTCAGGACAATTACAGACACATAACTCAGATTAAATAAAACTACACTTAGCTCAAATGAAGAAGAAAAGTTTTGAATAAGAATTGTAAAAATGACAAGCAACCCATCTTATACTCAGAAATTAAACTAGTTATCATTACAATGCAAAAAAGTCGAGCACTATAATCCCGGAAATTTGGGAGGGAGAGGTTCAGGATTAGCCTGGCAAAAAGCTAGTGAGACCCCCATCTCAACAAATAAACTGGGCATGACACACAACTGTCATCCCAGCTACTCCAGAGACCACAGGAAAAGGAGGATTGGAGTATAGGATGCATTCCTCCACCTCTCCCCAGCAAAAAACATGAGAACCTATTAAAAAAAAAAAAATCCTAAAGCAAAAAGATCTGGGTTCGTGGTTCAAGTGGCAGAGTAGGTATAAGGCCCTGAATTTAAACCTCAGTACTGCAAAATAGTAACAGTAACAATAACAATAATAATAATAATGAGGATGCAAGGAAAAAAAAGACACTGGGAAAGAGAAGTACTTAAACTCAAAGTAGTTCCAAACCAAAGTGAAAATAAATTATTCCTGCCATTCTTCATACATGAGTTCCAAGTTGATAGATACAATATACTTTGCTTTAGCATAAAACCTTTCTAACTACCCACAGTTTCTGAATAAAACATTTCTCTCTGGGATATACTGTCCTCATTTGGCTTTCAAGATCCTCAGATTATTCCCTAGTGCCCTTTGCTCAAATATTAGTTTCTGAACAGTCTTTTATCTGTAAGTATAACTCCACATGGATGATGCCTTATGCTTTTACCACTTCTTTTAACATGGCTTCTGTGCTTAATATTCCTTTCAAAAATTTTCAACTGCCTTCATTAATAACTAATCTATCACCAATGGTGATTAGATAAACAACAGATCTTTCAAAGATCAAAGTAAACCTGGAAGCTCCAGTGTCCAATACAATAGCCACTAGCCCTATTACTACCATAATACCTACTACTGAGCACTTAAAATGTAGCTAGTCCAAAGTGAGATGTGTTCTAAGGATGTATATAGTAGATTTTGATATCCCAATATTTAAAAAAAAATTGTAATTTTATATTTTTTTAATTGAATGTATGTTGTGATGACATTTTAGATTACTAGGTAAAATAAAATACATTATTAAAACTCATTTCACCTGTACTATTTTACTAAAACATCTTAGTTGCATGTGAGGTTTACATTATATTTCATTTTGACAATGTTACCCTAGAATATAATTTCAGATGAAATGGTGTAAGACAGAAATAATGTTCTCCATAAAAGCTGATAATTTAAACTCTTTTCTTCCTCATCTAGGGATCCTTCCTTGGGTATCACCATCCTCCCCATCATAGGGTAATAAATCACCTACCAGTGAACCCTGAAGTAGATGCTACATTGCACCTTTCTTCCTATTTGCAGTGACTGAAATCCAAATCTCAGTATAGGATAATCAAGGTCTATTAAACACTAAAATTATCTTGCCAGTTCTACCTCCCACAGAGTTTTCATTCTTGCTCCTAACAAGAGTAACTCAATAAATCTTGAGTATATATTTTCACACATCTACATAAGAGGTCACAAACTCAAATACTCCAAGTAGTTATCACAAAGTATAAGTTAGTGTTATAACAGTGAAGAGTCTGGAGGACTGCTCTATGTATCCAAAGAAAATAAAATTCAAAACTAAAAGACTTTTTGAGTCAGAATATTTGAGACAATTTCACCCCCATGACACCAGTCACCTGCTGTCTCTTGATGCTGCCTCAGTGTGTAATCAATAGAGCTCAAGACTTTTCATTTAGTAATTTAGATAACAGATATAATGAATATTTGTTATTTGCTAGCCACTCTATTTGGCACTGTGGAAATAGCAGTTAACAAAATCAAAGGTGGGGGAAACCCTTTGGCCTCACAGAATTTACATTCTAATGGAGAAGAAAGCGGGAACATATAGTAATTAAATGAAAGGTAAACTGTGTAACATGTTAGATGTTAATATATGCATAAAATACCCAAGGGGTAGATAGGGAATTTGTGGAAATTTGGTTAAGGTTCATCGAGAAGGCAGTATTTAATTGGCTCAAATTAATGATCAGGTTAATGATTATTTTGTATCAATACAACTGTATGTTTGACAAAAACACCAAGAGTTTCCACATATGAGAGAGAACATGTGATAAAAGTTAACCCAAATAGGGAACAGTAATTTTACTAGATTGGAAAGGATGGTAGGGGATGATGGATAAAGAAGGCTAGATTTATTTAGTATACACTGTATACATATATTGAAATATCACTCTGAGCCCTTTTAATATGTAAAAATAGTACATGTTAATCAAAAATAAAATAAAATATAAAAAGAAATAAATTATGAATATAGCTTTACAAATTTCATGTTGGACTTACTTTTTAAATAAAAATTATCTTATTAACTCAAAAAACCCAAATGTTTAAATAAAAATGTAAGACCAAGAAAAAATTTCAATGGTGTTTAGATAAGCAATAGTCCATAAATATGAACTAAACCTTAGGGCATAATATCATATGAAGTTTTTAGTAGAAATGTAGAAATAGCTGAGTTATTAAATGGGATGGGACAAGAATAAATACTTGAGTACAAAAAGATCAGGTACTCATATTTAAAGAAATTTTAATGAAAAGAAAACAAAACACTGAATTCAAGAACAGTTTATTTATAGAGAAATAAAATAAAAATAAGCAGTTGATGGTTATTTAAAACTTCAGCCAATTCCTTCACTAGTTATAATTTCAAATAGCTTAATTTATGTATTCTAGTTTTATTCAGTGGCAATTATTTCAAGAATATGATCTGCTAAATTCTACTTTTATATGGAAACTCTGAAACAGAATACAATTGGAATATACTCAGAAATCAGGCTTTCTCTTGCAAAAATTATCTGTCATGTGCTTGTAAGGAACACTAAACCATGATACAAAAGTCAAGCTGATGGTATGAATATATTCATTTGAAGAAGTAATTCAGAATTTAGAAACAAGTTTTGAACTTGTTGCATACTATTAAAGTATGCTAAAAGCATTACATGGGGCCTTCCACCTTACTATGAGAAAAATTTGTCTACTGCTTTTATATACCAGTTAGTGCTGCTGGATGTTAGCTTTTAATTATAAAATTAATATTTAAGAAATATTTTTCTAAAATTGTGTCTTTTGATTGGCCTACCCAAACTTCTACTAGGTGTAAAATGAAGGTTCTCTTCAATAACATGTTTCCACCTTTGCCTGTAAGAAGTACTTATTTCTTGTGTCTGTATTACTATTAGTATTTCACATATCTTTCCTTAGTGGTAAAACAGAGGACACGATCTTGTTGATCTTTTTCTTCCAGGTCCTTTTCTTAATTCCTCAATAAGTGTTTACTTGAATTTATGTCAAATTCAAAAATGAAAAACCATGAAGAGATTAGGAAAGGATAAAATAAGATCTCCAACTGTTCTTAAAGTATTTACTTTGACTGCTTTAAAATAGTTCTCAATTTTGCTATTTGCTTTCATTTTGTCAAGAAAAGCTATTTTAAAAGATATTTATACTTAGACAATTTATAATTAAAAATCTTTAAATCTTTGGCAGAAGTACAATATAAACCTCATAGAAAAAGCACGTCCTGGAATTTGAGCCATATTAAGAAGTATTATAGAGGCATAACTCAACATATTTGGAAATAGAACGTGAGAAGTTAGGAAAAACAATTATACTATAACATCTACTCAAGAAGTAACTTAGCCAAGTAAGAGCAAGGGATGTTCTAAGACCAACTTCTGTTCAACAAAGGGAGATCTTCCAAACATTTTGAATAGCACACAATGCAATGGTTTGCCAGAAATGTTTGTTTTTATTGCAAAACATTCATGATTATATATATTAAATACATCACGGAACATTATTTTAACTGGAAGACATAAATTATGAAGTAGTTGATCCTCAATATCTACTTTGATCCTCTCAGGACTTCAAGGATGAACTCCAGTAGTCTAACTCAATCATGTCAATCATCTATTGTTGTTACTGTTGTTATAGTTGTTTTGGCAGAGTGTCAATAATTAGTGCAAAGACCCACCATTGAAATTTAGCATTTTCATTAAAACAAATGTTGATCCAAAGGTAGGAAATACCTAAGATGGCCAATCAAACTAGAGGGAAGAATCCTGTTCACTTTGGAGGAAAGAGTTCTTTCTCTCCACATGGGTATGAGAATCTGTAACACCAAGACCCATTATAGCCACAAAGGATAGCAGCTGTAGCATATAATCAACACTAGAAGTGGCACAGCAGAGATATTTATCTATATCTTAATCAAGCCTGGGTCTCTGATAACTCTTTTAAGACTCAGCTAACCCAAATCGGAAGCCCAACTTGCTAGATATGTTTTGCTGACTCTCCAACTTTCCCTAACCCTATTTCTATGCTTGGAAGCTCCATTACTCAGCTTATAGTTGACAGTTTGATAAGTAGGCAACATCAGTAGGAAGTTAAAGAGCAGAAAGAAAGAAAAAAAAAAGACTGGCAATTATCCTACAGGTGAGTACACGATATTCCTTTATCGAAGACTACACTCCAGTCAGATACCCTTTTCCAACAGCTACAATATCTTTCTCTTTGACTTATGCTAAACACTCATTGCCCCTTCTTCAGACCTTGCTAGTTCCCTTAACACTGCTCACAACTTACTTTTAAAGTACCCTTGCATTAAACTCTTCTCAATAACCCAGGTTGAGTATGTCACCAGCTTGCTGCCCAGACTATATAACTGATAAGTTTGGTTGTAATGGGTCCCCCATAGGCTCATGTTTTGAAAGGTTTATCCCCCAGCTGGTGGTGCTATTTTGGGAGGTGATAGAAACTTTAGGAGGTGGGAGCTATGGCTGGAAGAAGTGGGTCACTGGGGAACATGCCATGGAAAAATAGCAATAAAAACTTCATGATGTGACTAGTTGTTATAAAATTTAAAATGGAATTACCCAAACAATAATCCTGGTCATTATGTATTAAAAAATAAAATAGTGTGAAGCATTGATCTGAGAAGCATTCATTTGAGATTCTTTTTAGGGAACCGGACAAGCATTCATTTATTCAATCAATTCAACAAATGTTTATTGAGACAGGCACTGTTCTAAATGATGAAGATGTAACAATAAAGGTACATTTTTTAAATGCCCCTCTTTCATAAAACCCACATTCTAGTCGATGGGAGCAAAAAAGTAAAAAAAAATGTAAAACATATAACAATGGTAGTATAAAAATTAGTTAGGCAGACACTGATAGTTATGGACAGGGTACTATTTTAGAGTGATAGGGAAAACATCTCTGAAATGTCATACAAGCAAAATCCTGAATGAAATGTAGAATCGAGTTACTTGGATACTTACCAAAAAAAAAATGATGGAAACAAAGAAGAAAATTAAATATAAAAGTTATGAGATGGGCACATGCTTAACATTTTCATTTTGAAGGGATAGGCAAAAAGGCCCTTCTGTGGCTAAAATAAAGGAAGCAAAAAAGAGGGCGTAAGATATGATGTCAGAGGTATAAGATTTAAGATTTTCATTCTGAGAAGGATGGAATAGTAAAAGCTAGTACATTTTCAAGGGGACTAGTGTGAGTACTAGTAAAAAAGTGGAACAATGGTGAAAGAAGGTGATGGTTTTGACCAAGAAGATATCAACACATGTAAGGAGTACGGTAAGAATTAGGAAGTAGTAGTTGATTATCGATATATTCTGATAGCTTGACAACATAATTCCTGAGAGTTTGGATCAAGTGTGAGAAAAAGAAGAGTCAAAAAGAATGTGGGCTGAAGGCATGGCTCAACTGGTACAGTATTTCCAAGGGCATGAGTTCAAAGCCCAGTATTCCCCTAAAAACATCTACATAGAGAAAGTATTAATATTTCTGATCTGTACTACTTGTTGAATAGTAATGCCACTGACTAAGATAAAGAAGACTGAGGGAGAAAGAATTTCAAAAGAAAATCAAAAGCAATAGTTTGGAAAAATTAGATTTGCAAAGATCTAACTTACATTCTAGAGGAATAGAAAACAGAAGAAACATTTGTGAGTAATTAGTATCTACAGGATAATGAACATCAAATAAATAGATGAGCTCAATTAGAATAAAATATAAATAGAAAAATGGAAAGTTTTCTAGGACTAAGCATCAAGAAGAGGTAGTCTTTAAAATTTAGAAAGGGAAGGAAGAACTACTAAGAGAGAATAAGGAAGTAGAAAGAAAACAAAGAAAGAAAGCCAACATAAACTCATTGGATAATTATAAAGAGAGAATGTTCAAATAAAATGTTGTTAATGGCCAAGTAAGAGACAAAGAAATAACCAAAGGCTAAAACAAGAAAGCCACTGGTGACAAGGACATAAACCATAGTAAGGGAAGTAAAAAAGATGAAAGCAAGATTGGAATAGGAGTAGATTTGAGAGTAAATGGGAATTTAATATTTAGATATTAATTAACGTAATCCACCAAATTAAGAAACATGAAAACATCACACTGTCAAACAACATGAAAAACATTTGATAAAATTCAGCTGTTTATTACAAAGAAAACTCTTAGCAAACCATACGTAGTTCTTTAATTTGATTTTTTAAAAATTTACAAAATAGCCAGTGGCTCACGGCTATAATCCTAGCTACTCTGGAAGGAGCAACCAGGAGGATTGTGGTTCAAAGCCAGCCAGGGCAAACAGTTCGTGAGACCTATCTCTAAAAAAACCCAGCACTAAAAAAAACCAACCACAAAAGGAGCTGATGGAGTGGCTCAAGGTATAGGCCCTGAGTTCAAACCCCAATACCACCAAAAGAAAAAAAAATTACAAGATAATCTATAGAAAATATTATTCAGTGGACAGTTATTAAAAGCCCTAAGTCTGAAATCAGAAATAAGTCAGAGATGCCTATTATTAAAACTTCTATTCACCATTGTACTAAAACTCTTAGATGGCACAATAAAGCAAAAGGAAAATATTAAAAGAAATATAACTCTTAGTCTCAGATGGTATTACTATCTACAAAGAAAATTTCTTTAAAAATCTAAACTACTATAATTAACAGAGAAGTAGCAAGATTAATATTTAAAAGTTCAATATTAACATCAATTGTATTTCTATGTACATGAAAAATAGAAAATACAAAAACATCTAATAATAACTTTGATGAGAATAAATAAAAAGACAGCTAATTTTCTATGCAGAACATTACAAAAAAGTGACCCTAAATAAAAAGTATATGAATTAAAAGATTTAATATAATAAAGATGTCAATACTATCAACTGAAAATGCTACAATTCTGTGGTAAAAAATGACAAGCTGATAAATGTATACAAATGCAAAGAGTAAAGAATAGTGAAAGCAATCGTAAAGAGTAACAATAAAGTTAGATGACACACTATCAGACATCAAGATGCACGAAAAGCAATATAATTTAAGATACTATTGTAATGTCACAAAGAAGAACAATCCTGCTCTCATAGGGTCACCTGATTCACAGCAAAGGTTAGATTTCAATGCACTGGAAAATCATCTTTTTAATAAAAGGTTCTATATCATCTAAATACATATAGATAATGGGATTACATTCTAGTAAGCCCATTGTTAAATTGAAAGTATTGTGATTCATAGGCCCAGTGATCCTGCCATACACAGTAATTTGCAAAGGCATTTTATGATGTCTAATTCATATATAATATAGATTAAAATGTATCTTCTACATGTTTGTAAGTGGAAAAATGAGACCTATTGAAACTACTCCAGGAATGGGGTAGAGGAGAATGATGAAGGGGATGAATTTAGCTATGATATATGGGAAGAACTTCTGTAAATGTCACAGTGTATGCCCAGCACAATAATAAAAATAAAATAGAAAAAATAATTTCTAATACTCTAAATACAAGAAAAATAGTATATCATCATTTAAAAAATAAGCCAAGGAAAAGTAATAGAACTCTAAGTAATGCTACTGAACAAAAGCCTCAATAAAGAAATGATGCCCATGATCCATCTACCATTCTTGAAACACCAATCCTTAGTGAAAGTAGCACTTGTTTCAAAGGAAACATCCGTTACAATTATTTCAAATTTAACACAATTGGAGAAGAAATAAATATTATCTCCAAAAGTCTTCTCCATATTCTTTCCTATGATTACAAAAAAAAGTTTATTCTTCTTAGTTGACATCTTACCTCTACCATTTCTCAAAGAGTTTCATTTTCAGATTATTGAAAAATTAACTGATAAGAATGTGTTAATGAGGACAAGAAATATTTCTTATAAAAATAATCCTCTATTCAAGAAATCTCCTATGTATAGTTAAAAGAATTCACATGAAACTATCAATCTCTTGTGAAACCATAAGAAATTAACATTCATTATAATAATATTCAATTGCAACTAAAGTAAAGAAGATCATTTAAAAAGAACATAAACAGTACTGGCGGCATGGCTCAAATGGTACAGTGCCTGCCTAGCAAGCATCATGACCTGAGTTGAAATCCCACTACCAACAAAAATACAAAAACCAGTGACTTAAATGACACAACATGGAAAAAAACTACACACATTTAATTTATGATGTTGATAGTACATATTGATAAGAAAAAGCTGCTATATTAAAATGTTAAGGACAGAGCACAAAATAATATTTCTGCTACAACAAAGATTTTAATCTTGTCATTGAAAAATCACACAAAAAGTAAATCCAATAAAGCAAAACAAAATGAGAAGATTTCTAGGAAACAAACCAAATGTGAAGAGAGCAAAGGAACAACTAGCATTTTTAAAAAAACAAACAAGAGAAGCGATACTGTAACTTGATAAAAGTATGAGAGACTTTTTCTTTAGTTTGTACCATCACTAAAAATTTTCATTATTTACTTCTGTAACACCCATTATAATTCCATATCTACACTTATATTTAAGTCATAATATAAAAATGTTCTTCAATAAGCAAACAGTATGACCACCATACAATCAATGGAAAGGGAAGTTACAGAAAATACAATTACTAATTTTCATTTGTCCAACTATGAAAGCTACACAGTAAAACCATCAATACATATCACTTACCTTTTCAAGTAAGTAGCCAATGACTAAAAAGCCTTTTCCACCCAGCATCTGTTCTTGCATGGCTACAGAACTTTTAAGTAGTTCAACCAGGAATGCCAAAAGAGTAGCACTGCATGTAAAGTACAGATAATTTTGTTTTGTAATCATTAAATGTTTATTATAAATACAGTATTCCATTTCAGTAATTTTTATGCCAAAAGATAACAAACATACTTAAATTTATACTTTGCTGACAAATACTCTTATGTTATACTCTACAAGAATACATTTTCTCATAAACATGAGAAAAATTTCATCCTTTTCAAATTAAACACAGTAAACTAGAAATAACAATGTACTTTTAATATTCCACAGTTCAACATCAAATTTTATCCATATAAATATGTGTTTCAACTCAGAGTAAATCTAACATAAGAAACATATATCATTTTTCTTTAGTAAAGACATTACCATAATATTTTTTGAATGACAAGTAATTATACAGACTATTAAAGATGTATGCAATATTGTTTGGGAAGAACATACCTATTCTTAAATAGTTATCAGTAAGACCTGCTTTTTGTCAACATTTTGTTAACAAATACCCAAAGAAATATGTAATATGTCACTTATGTCCAATATGCCCTCAGAAAAGTTCATGAGCGCAGAGAAAAGAAATGACTCATGTACTATTGAAATGAAAAGTTTTATATTACTACACAGTGTATACACAAACACATAAAAACAAGCAAACCAGACACCAGTTAAGCACTTGGTATGTCTGTTGAATGAGTGAATGAGGAAACAAAAGGAAAATAAATGACTGCATTGAATTAATCTTTGATAATGTATTTCTTCACAAAGCTACATAATTTTCAACCAGCAGTACTAAAACATGAATATAGTATTCCCAAAAATGAAAATATATGTTCCTTCATTATATGTGCTTAATATACTTTTATAATAATTGCATAAGCCAAACTTTATCAAGATTTAAAATGTGTATATAAAATGTTTTATAATATACCTTAAATTGCCTATTTATATTCATAAGAAATGGTAAAGTTACAAATTTCTAAATACATTTTAAACACAGAAGTCCTCATTCTTACAGTAATTAAGAAAATTTGGTAATGTGAAAAACATAACAACTATTAAAAGAATCTGAGGTTATTCTATTCTCTGAATTATTCTAGCTTTTCTGGTTTCAATACGAATGGCAAATAACACATTTCTCTGATAATGTGGCTATTTTTGTTAAAATCATAAATGTTCTCATAACCAGAACCCAATAGCAAAATTATCATTACCATGATTTTTTAAATTGATGCTTTGACAAGCTACATAATATCAAAAAAACAAAAATACCCTCCCCAGAAAAAAACATTTGATTACAGGATACTAAAGTTCAATTATATTAATTGGCCCTATAGCCTTAAACCACAAAAAACATAAATTAATATCACAAATCAATGATATTCTTCAATTTTGTCTTTAGTCAAAGAAAGACACAATTATCAAGGGATCTCTTGGGATGTTTTTATTGTTTCTGTAAAGAAGCACAGCTAATAAGCAATCTAGTTCATTTTAAAAGAACTGAATCAATAGTCAAGGCCACTTCCCAAATAATTACTTAAGTCCTGTATTACATCTAACACTTCTGCTTAACAGTTTGAAAATTAAAAAAAAAAAAAAAAAAGACTACATCATCGAGATTACACAATTTCCTAATCTGCTCATGGACTTCTTCCCTGTATATGTTATTGATCTTGGGGATGTTGGGGGAGTAGGTTCCTAAACATCAGCACTGCCAAAGAGAAAGACTAGAAATGCCTCACAATGGTCCCTATGGTCCATTAGAATAGGCAGGAAAAAAAGTGTTTCTTAGAATAAATCCCCCTCCTAGGAGAACCATATAAAATTATAAGGATGCCTTGTATTTTTAAGTCTTTAATGTCAGAAGACGTAGTCATTCTCAAACATATAATGTATTAACTATGCCCTCTAAATACAGTGGAGTTCCATTACAGAAACAAAAATATAAATTTTATTATGATTCCAAAATCTTAACATGAGAATACTATCCATGAAATGTTAATTTCACTTTATATTAGCCATGACAACAATTGAAAAGTCAAATGCATTCACTAACCAAAATATTTTAAACTTATACCTGAAACCCAATGCAATAGCAATACTAAATCTTTTTTTTTTTTAATCTTAAGGTACATTTGACATGGTGGACGTATCAGTAAAAAGATGGCCATCTTCGAAGAGGTACATTTTCAAACATAATTTAACAAACTTACCAGTAACTAAAAATGCATCGGATTGCTGCACGGATTGCTGCAGGGCTCACAATAAACTTGCAAAATTCTGTGTACTGCCATACAAAATTTCTCTCCATTCTTGCCTATTTCCAACTCCCCTAGATACAAAGGCAAATATAAAGGATACTTCAGCCCATTCCTATATCTCCTACATACCACTTCCTGTCTAGAACACATCAGTTCATCTGTAGAGGATCTAAATACACAGGATAAGCCAAAAAGCAAGTAGGCTGTGTCAGCCAAAACTAATGTATGCAACATAGAATATTCTCTTGAAAAGTATAGCAATACCTAGAAACAGATTGTCAGAGTATTTTACTTGATAGACAAAAAGCATACTAATGTCATGATATAAAATTGCTAAACTTTTCAATAGACAGTGCTGTAACATTTATTTTGTAAATAGCAATTCTACTTCAGGAATAGTTAAGGATTTTTAATACTGTCTCCTTTCAAGGAAAATGACAGTAAGAGTCTACTGTGATTTTTTCCTTAAAAATAATTACCATCTTCCAATCGTTAATAAGCTTCAAATAAGTTAGGAAATCATATTTTTAAGTATCATAAAAATACGAGGGCTAGTTAGAAAAATGAAAGAAATATTATAATAAAACCTGAAATAGTATATTTATTTATCTCCAGAGCTTTCTATCCATATTATAAAATACCACTATAGTCTTGGCCCACAAATACCTGACAATATACAGCGACTATGTATAAATAACTAATTTAATGAAAATACATATTATATTTGAATTCCATTAAAATTTTTATCAATGTAGAGCCTGACTTATCCATATCAATTTTTCCACTTAATTTTTCAACATAACTAAAGAAGGGTAATTCATGTAATATGATCCAAAAAGTTCTATTATCTTTGAGGTGCTTTTAGTATCCAGAGACACATACATCATAAAGATACACCTAGTCAATAACTGAAATCATTAAGAATTCATAGATAACCTAAGTTCACTTCAAAGGCAGCTTACAGAAGATAAACTGGCTTCATTTTGCTTTGTATTGAAACAAATGGTATCACAGCTAAATTTACTTACTAAATAAACATTTTTTAAGAAGAATGTAACTGATGTATGTGAAAAACTAAAGAACCCCCTGAGATTCAACACCTCTTTTCCTCTTTGAAAGGACATATTTTATCTCTTGATGAAACCCTACAGGCAAAATAATTGTCAAAATAAATTTACAAGTAGATTAAGTTCCATGTAAAACTTAAAATATCAGAAAAGAAAAAAATCCTTTTAACATTTTCAGAAGGTTTCATCTCTTATGCAGCCTAAAAACAAACTAAAATCTTTCAGAAGACGGTCAAAATCATGTAAAATATCTAATCTAACATCATATTCTATGCTATCTCTGTCACCAAAAGAAACTCTTTCCATATGACAGTGATCACAGCAGAAATAAAACTGTAAATGACTTAAGTCCACAGCAAAGACAACTGCCAGTGACAAAACCATGTAAAATACCTCAAAAAAGCAGTTAACTTCCTTTACAGTTGAAAATTAGAAAGATCTTAACCAAAAGTTTCTAACTGCAAGTATATTTAGCAATTACTTTTAGACAAGGCACTCTTCAAAATACAATCTCAAAAGCCACTCCCTACATATGCAATGAAATCCTGACACACAACTGTACATTCTTTAGTGTAGAGATCAAACAGAGCTTCATGCCCAAAGAACAGTGATCTGTAGAATCAAATAAGGAAAACAATGGAGTGCAACACAGTAAAATGTAAAGACAGATGGAATGTACTGGATAGCACAAGAAATCACTAAGCCTGCCTTTGTCCATGAAATTCTTCTCAGTAACTTTTCTTTCAACCTGATAAAGAGGCAGGCACACTTAAACAATTGCTACCACGGTCATGGATTCTCTGATCATCCTGAAGAGGCTTTATTAAAAGGTATAATGTTATACATTATTTCTTTATTTCATTAATATTTCCACTTTATGTTTCATTGGCCTATTTCAGACAAATACAAAAAACTCAATTTCTAAAAAATTGTAATTTAAATATGTCAATTTGTGTGATGAAGAAAACAAAATTTTAAAGTGTATACATGCAAAGGAATTTTAAACCTCCTATGATATACTGCTATACATTACTCTAGGGTATCTGACAGAATGTACAGTCTAAAAACAAAAAAGTCTTCATATAAGCTCCTTTCAAATACTTAGTAAAGATATTCAGCATTTACTAAATATACACAAATGGGAAAAAAAAAGTCTCCAAGTCTGATAGTTCTGTAGTTTAATTGCACCCCTCATAATACCTCTGAAAATAAATTAAGTACCCTAACCCCTTTATGGAAACTTTCTGGACATGTTGCCAATGGCCACCACCATTATAACCATAAATACTTTAGAAATTTTAATTATATATCTTCTTAACACCTAATCAGAACCAAAGAAGTTAAAAAGTGGAAACACATAGAAGTTAAGATCATTATACATGGGCTTAAATATTTATACACACTCTAACTGTCCTTCAAGGTCTAAACATACCCCAGCAATAAGGCAAAATGGTCAGTCCTTTATCCTGGTGCTGGATCTACTTTTAGCCAAGACCCAGACTATCTGACAGAAGCAAGATTAACAACATATCCTAGAAATGCTTAAGTTTGCAAATACAAGAAAATAAATAGAAAAACATCTGAACGTACAAAAAGCTGAAACGTGTGTTACTTAGGTTTCATATATGCCAAGAGCTTTTCTATTCTTTTTATAATTAATTTCATTTATAAATGATCATGAAAAAAGACTAATTTTTTTGGTGTAT